CTGCCATTCTCTCATCACTATCGCTGATTGCACCCCTTTTGGCTGTTTTGAGTGTGGGTAGATTATTAGATCAATATAGGGATTTCTGTTAGTATTTTATGGCTGTACTAAGAGGCAGTTTCGTATCCCAAGTACGCAATTTGCTTTCGATCAAGTCAGTTAGACGAGGAGGCCAAAATAAATTTGGTCGCAATAACAAGCATTTCAAAGATTTTTTGGTGGGGATTCCTTGGAGGGCCGCCTGGGAAAATTGTGAAGGGCGCCTCTCAGACTAACGGACACCTGCTTTAAGGGGAGAGGACGGGATGGGCGTTTCAGGGAAAAAATTAGATCGATATAATCCTATAAAATAAAAAAGGTGACGAGGGTACGTTGGGAGGAATACTCAAACTTCGGGCGAAAACACTGGATTAGGCTTTAATATCATCACTACCCCGCCGCCGGACCAACTGCGTGCGCGCGTATGTCAGGGGAGTGTGCTCCAACCTGAGGTACATTGAGGTACATTTTCTTGTACTAACGCTATCTCTAAGTAGAATAAAGGCGAATGAGTGAAGATTTGAAGATTGTGCAATTCACCTTACTTAACATTTGCAAGTAAGCGATTATTTCCGTTGTTAATTTGCAAATCCATTTTGCTTAATATACTGACTTAAGTGGTTATCCGGATGACCCCTCTCTAGTCCAATGCCATCATCCAATCCCTACTGGGTCGAGGGCCGGTGTTCAGAAACTGGAAATTTTGGGTAATACAACCAACTTAAAATGTGTAAGTTAGTGGTTATAATGAATAAGTTCCATTCGAAGATCCCACAAGAAAACCTTACAGTGATTGAACATTGACTAATTTCGAGGAAATATCATCCGCATTTTTTCCCTTTTGAAAACTTGGTTCCACCAAGATGACGCAAGATCAATCCTAAGCTTGGCAAACACTAAACCAGCGACTAATTCATATACATGTGTCGGATAGCAAAAAATACCATTACATTTATCAAGCTAATGACAGTTAAGACACATGCAAGATCAAGGAAATGGAACTCACGGAAATCATAGAAGTAATCATCTACGGCTACAACAAAGGGAAATTGATATGCTAAGTTGAAGGGCCTTACAAATGTCCATTGACCCAAGGGATTAGTGCGATCTGGAGGCAAAAATACTTCAACTGTCCGCGTGAGTTCAAAGCGATTGATACCACCTCCTACAGCCACAATTTTACCCTTTGCGTGGGCCAGACCATGGTATTTGCGCTTCTAATTCATGGCTGCCGCACGACGCCAGGTAAGAAATCTGTGTGATTCTACGGTTTCTGCAGAGTGGCCGATCGGAAGGGTGCAGTACTCCACCAGGTCCAAGTCATAACCGAATTCATCTTCGCCACCAGTCACAAAAATGCGGCCATCCTCCTCGCGAGCCACGACACGTTGAGCATGTCTGGAAGACGAAACCACCTAGGGAGGATGTGAGGAAAACTCTTAATCAATTAAAGTATCCATCAACCAAAATGAAGAAATGAAGGGCAAAGGTGCTTCTTGGAGTGAGTACGATCGCTTTAAAACGAATATTAGACCCCTAATAATCATCAACGCACAAGTGAGCCCAAACAAGCGAAAGTACTTCGCGCGTGGAGTGAGGGCAGATATGTCCACCCGATAATAAGAGTGGCGCCAGAGCAACCGCCGCAATGCACACGAGGCGCACGCAGACCTAACAGCGACTACAGTAACCGGGCAGACAGCTGAGGGCACGCGAGGACATCGGCATTCCTGTAGCGCCCACCTCTTCCCAGTGAAAACAAGATGCCCGAAGATCTAACAGCGACTACAAGAGTCGCGCAGGCAAAAGGGCTCACACGATTGCATCTGCAGTCCATCACGCCAATCCGCGAACAGGAGGACGGTCAGAGACCGTTCGTTAGTCAGTCTATAAAAGAAGACAGGCGGCGAGACAAAGGATGATGGAAACGAGCATGTTTTAAGCACCAATACAGTGCGGTCCATGAAAGCGCCTTCTTTTCTTCCTTATCTTCTTTGGGGATAACGAACGGGATACATATATAGATGTCGAACAATTCGGGGTCCTGAGATTTTATCGCGTTTGTCGTCTCTCAAAGGTAAGGAAGAAGAACTAGCTGTTCTATATTATGACACAAATTTCAGAACGAGGGATGCTCGCCCAGAGTTCCAAAGAGTTGTACTGTCAATTAGTGCATTGTATTTGATAAATGTTTTGGCTTACGAATGCCCATCGATCAGTAAAGGAGCTCGCTCCGAAACCCCGTCAATATGCCCATATCAGTTTGTAGTTAAGGCAGGTTCACAATAGCGGCAGTGTGGAATGGCTATTTTGCCGGTAGTGGGTTTGAGCCTTGGGTGGTGCACCACTTGGGATTGGGTATAACTGGCTGATCACGGCTTATGAGACAGAAATTGTAATTCCAGTCGCCATCACATTTTTCGGCATTGCTCATCAGATGCCATCTTTTCAACTTTCCTTCTGAGAGAAATGCACTCATGTGGTTGACAGAGCTGAACTGATGCTGTCTGCGCGTGCCACAAACCGCATGGTCCCCGCTTCGTGTGCTATGCTAGTCGTATTGTGGTACGTAAA